GCTTTGGGCAATGTCGCGAGATGGGTCCGGATAGGACGCTGCTCGAGGGTGGCCTCCTGGGGCACCGGCTCCGGCACGGGCCAACTTCCTCGAGGCGCCTGGAGCCAAGCCGGTCCGTGCCACCACAGGCTGCTATCCGCCAAATCCTGCGGCGCAACACCTCGGCTCGCAAGGTCAGCCGGGTTGTGCTCGGAGCGCACGTGCAGCCAATCCTTTACATCCGTGGCTTGAGCGATCCTGGATACGCGATTCGCCACAAAGGTCGTCCAATTGCACGCTGGCTTGCGAAGCCAGGCCAACACAATAGTGGAGTCGGTCCAGCACGCCGTTGGATAGCTGCTGAGTGGAAGGTGGGGCAGGATAGCTGCACACATGTCCGCTAGGAGGACGGCACCGCACAGTTCCAAGCGCGGCAGTGACACCGTCTTGACTGGCGCCACCCTGGTCTTGGATACCAGGAGATGGACCTGCACTTGCCTGTGCGTCTCGACGCGCAAGTAGATGGCCGCCCCGTATGCCTGCTGCGATGCGTCACAAAAACCGTGGTACTGAAACGTACCTTGTGGGCGAAAATGAATCCACCGTGGGATCCGGATCCGGTCTAGCGTGGGATAACTCCGCAGGAACTCGTTCCACCTCTGCTGCAGCTCGGAGGGGAGCGGATCATCCCATCCGATTCCGCTGAGCCAGATTTCTTGCATAAAAATCTTGGAACGGACAATAATTGGCGCCAGCCATCCGGCGGGATCGAACAGCCTGGAAATCTGGGCCAGGACCTCCCGTTTGGTGAATGAGGACTTCTCCTCCAAAACGGATGCGATGAAAAGGAATTCGTCATTGGTGGCCTTCCAGTGGATGCCCAGCGTCTTAGTCATGCTGGCATCCTCAATGTCTAAGAAGTCGGCGCGCAGCAGATGCTCTGGTGGGATGCCGCGAAGAATGTCCTTGTTGTTGGCAACCCACTTGCGCAGTGGGAAACCTGCTGCGCTGAAAGCCGCTCGTATCTCTCGTATGGATGAGAGTGCTTCCTGCTTCGTATGTGCCCCGGCCAGGACGTCATCCACATACATGAAGTCCGTGAGGACCCGGCTGGCGAGCGGATACTGCGCCTTGGAGTCTTCGGCAAGCTGCAGGAGCACGCGGATGGCCAGGAAAGGCGCACAGTTCACCCCGAAAGTGACTGTTTGGAGCTCGAAATCCCGCAAGTCACCCGCCGGATCGCGGAACAGGATTCTCTGGAACCGGGTATGTGCGGGGTCGACCAGAATCTGCCGATACATCTTAGTGATGTCGGCACTGAAAACGTGCTGGAAAAAACGCCACTTCAACACCTGTAAAGTCAGGTCGGCCTGTAGGACGGGCCCCGTGTGAAGTACGTCGTTTAAGCTGTTCCCGTTGGACGACGGGCAGGATGCGTTGAAGACCACGCGGACCTTGGTCGTGGTGCTGTCCGGCTTCAGCACCGCGTGATGGGGCAGGTAAAAATTGGCGTTGTCCGTTGGAGGAGGGACAGGGCGCATGTGCCCTAAGTCGAGATACTCGTTGATGACTGCGTCATACTGCTCCTTCAACGAAGCGTTCCTAAGCAGCCGAGCCTCGTTCTTGAGGAACTGGGCCATCGCGATGGATCTAGAATGGCCTAGTTGAATGTCCTGGGGGTCCTTGAAAGGCAGCGAGACCATGTATCTGCCATCCGGCCGCCGGCTGGTGGTCTGGACGAAAAGCTGTTCGCACACTGCGCCCGCTTCCTTCTCGCAACTCACCGGGATGTCCTCCACCTCCCAGAACTTGGTGAGCAGCTGATCCAAGGATGGCTGTGTGCCTGCTGAAATGCGCGTGGTGAAGGAACGGATGGCCGTCTTCCTTGCCGCCGCTACTGGTCCGGTCAGAATCCATCCGAAAATGGTCTCCTGTGCCAGCAGCGAGCCGCAGACGTTTGGCCGGGTGCCGCCAAGCAGCACGGCAGGTAGTATGTCAGCGCCGATGAGCAAATCGATGGTGGCGCTTCGGAAAAAACACGGGTCTGCCAACGGCAGGTCAGGAAGATCTCTCAAGGTTTCGCTGGATATGGGAAACGATGGCAGGGCGCCTGCCAGTTGCGGCAGCACGTATGCCGCCGTCTCGACTTCGCGCCTCGGTTGTGAGGAAGATGCCAGCTTGACACTGCACACCTTGGTCGCGAGCCCAGATGTGGTCGCGTTCAGCCCCGATACCTGGGCCTGCACCTTCTGGAACGGCAGCCGAAGAGATCTGCGTAGGCGCTCTGAAACGAAAGTTCCCTCGGAGCCAGAGTCGATGAGCGCACGCGCGGCGTAGACGCTACCGAAATGGAGCACGTTCACTATAGCCGTGCCGAGGAGGACGCCCTGAACGCTACTGCTGAAATAGCTCTGAACATTCGACGAAGTGGACTGTAATGGATTGCAATGTGGAGGGGGAACTGATGCTGAGGGCGCCGATGGAAGGGAGGGGCCACGGTGCAGGAGAGTGTGGTGGCGCCCCTTGCACGTAGCGCAGTTGTACTGGCTTGTGCAAGCGTTTAGTTGGTGCCCTCGGGCGAAACAATTCATGCAAAGCTTCTGATTCTTGATCACCTTGCATCGGTCCTTGACCGACATTTGCAGAAAACGCGGACACAGGCGCACGGGGTGGTTCTCCTTCGAGCAAAGATTACAGGTCTGCGGACTGTTGCGGACCTTCGTCTCGAATGAGTTGACCTTCCTCGCAGCCGGCTCCTTTTGAGCTGGCTTTGGAACGCGGGTGCGGAGGCCCAGGGTCGCATCATTTATCGCTTCCAATGTGCGATAGCGATCCGAGAGGAACTGATTCATGTCGCTCCAGGGCGGAATTTCGGACTTGTCCTTTACCGACTGCTCCCATAAGGAAAGAGTAGCTGGAGGAAGCTTGGTGGCGCAGAAAAACACCAAAAGGCAATCCCAGTCCTGGGTGCCAATCTTGGCATTCTGGACAGCCGTTAAGCACCCTTGGATTGTGCTCTGGAGCTCCTTGATGGCGATGCCACACTCCGAAAGAATAGGCTGGAGGTTGGCGAGGACCTTGAGCTGACTGTTGACCAACAATCGCTTGTTTTCGAAACGCTCAGTTAGGTTTTTCCAAGCTGAGGCGAAACCGTCGTTGGTCAGTGGGGAATTACGCACGATGTCCTTCGCTTCGCCGCGAGTTTTGGAGAGGAGGTGGTAAAGTTTTTCCACCTCTGTCAACCGCTGGTTGCGAATGTACAACGCGGTGAAGAGGTCCCTGAACGTGGGCCACTTCAGGTAGTCGCCAGTGAAAACCTCGGTGTCCACTGGCGGAAGGATACAGCCCCTGACTGGGGGCTCGGGACTTGGAGCGGGAGCGCTGCTCCGCGCGGACGAGTCTTGTATTCGCGTGGTGAGCTGAGTGGCGCACCGCTCATAGACGCGGTAGCAGTGATCATACTTCATCTGTAAGGCCTGCTTGTCGGAATCGCTGGACTCTGATTGGCTCAGAGCCCGGAAACAGCGCCGACGCTCTTGCTGAACCTGTTCCCACAGGGCTTTGACTTGGTCCAGTTGGATCTGCTGCGTGACAAGCGTCACGGCTGGGTCGGACGAAGAAACTAGTGCCTCAAAATGGCACAGGTCATCGCTGACCGAAATGAATTCGTCCAACACCATTTCGATCGTTTTGGAAGCGATCCGAACAGCTGCTCGAGTAGACGGAACGGGTTTCGCAATTCTGGGCACCCTCACAGAGAGCTGTGGCGAACAGCTGGTCTTCCTTGGAGAAGGAGACGAAAAAGCGTTCACGGACAAATGTGATTTGGGGCTGCCCTTCTTGGCGGTGGAAGGCGAAGGTTTCTTCAACAACAAGCGTGAACCCGGACTGCTCCTCTTGGAGGTAGAGGGCGAAACCTTCTTCAACGACGACGGTGGTTTCGGAATAACCCCTTTTGACGTCGACGGCGAAACTGTTTTTACAAGGGACGGTGTCGGAACCGAACTGGATTGCGCGTCAGAAGGAGGAACGGCCAAATGCTGAGAAGTGGATGGGGCGACCGAGGTAGACGGATGGACCAAATGCTTCTTCGTGTCCTCCTCGCCTTCACTGGGCATACTAGGCTCTCACGCGAGCCTGCTAGAGTGGGCCCACTTGAGGCAGGTCGGGTATGAGTCCGCCGGAAAACGGCGTTGCTGACCGCTTATGGCGCGCAAAATTCTGCGACAAGTTTTATTAACTGGCTTATGCTAGCTGGAGGTGCTGAAAACTTGTCGGGCACAAGGTCACAAGAATATGTGTAGCCACCGAAATAAAAGAGAAAATGGATTTCGTTTTTTTCTCTATGTTCGTTTTATTAAAATTAATTAAACACCGCGGCAGCAATAAATATATGTGCAATTAAGTTGCTGGACAGCTGCAGGCGGTGATATGCGACGAAGAATCCAAAAATCCAACAAAAAAAACCCAAAAATAAATATAAATTAAAGCTGGATAAAATAACTGCCAGCTAGAGGTGCTGGAAAGGTTCGGGAAAAAGTCCACAAGGATATGTGTATTCACCGAAAAAATTTGGATTTATTTTTATTTGATTTTATTAAAGTTGCTGAAAAATCGCCGCAAAAACTACACGCAATTACGTTGATGGAGAAAGACCAGCTGGAGGCGCTGGTATGCGACAAGGAATCCCAAAGAAACATAAAAAAAACAATAATAAATTTTATTTAATTTTATTAAGTTACTTTTTGGGATAAAGTAACTGTATTTAATTTTATTAAGTGATTTCCGGGATAGCGGGCCGCCAGTAGCAATTGGTCACAGTGATTATCGAAATTAATAATTCAGCTGTGACTCGTTACCGTGACCAAGTTTCTGGTCACACTCCAATTTCGATGATTGTAGTTTCCGATAACTGATTTTACACAAGTGTCATCACTTGTTTACCTTTAATGGGTAAGTAAAATTTTAAGTGCAAAAAACGCAATATGTTTTAATTTTCGCACAAGCGCCGACGCTGGACATCGCGCGGGCTATAAGGAATACCAACTGGAGTGTTGGCACGTAGCGGGGAGTCGTGGACCGACCGGTGAGTGTATAGGATTGTGTTAGTAATTAAATATATGAGTGTAAATATGTTTGTGTGTAAATTTTATGATTCGTATATTTAGTGCATGCAGGTGTGTTTATAGCGGACTCAAATGTATATAGATATATATATATATATATATATATATATATATATATATATATATATATATATATATATATATATATATCAGCGTATGCGGACGTACGTTTGTTTCCGCTGCCGATATATGAAAACGTGTATAGATTTATACGCCGCGGATGTATATAAAGTGCATGTATATAAGCATATGTGGAAATATGTCTATTGTGTAATGTGCATGTATATAAAGTGCATGTATATAAGCATATGTGGAAATATGTCTATTGTGTGACGGACCATGCAAAAACTATGTGGTGTGAATTGTGCATTAGGAACGTGCAGGTAAAACAGGTGTGTTTCCCACTGGACACTTGTTGCATATGGGAAAGAATATGCGCAAGTATGCCAAGATGCAAACGCAAACGGACGGAGTTCGGGTTGAACCTGCTAATTGTTGCACTTTACTTTTCGTTTAAGCGGACCAGCGCGGTACCGGCGTTAGACGAGATGAGGCCCTTGGATAAGGGACGGACAGCGGGATGCTGTTCCGTTGTGGGGGTCGGCGGACAGACCGACAGTGAACAAATATGGCGTAAGTATCGCGCCACAAGTAAATAGTTTACTTAGCTGCTTCTCCTCGCAGGTATCCAACGCCAGGAACAAGCTGGGGCGAACGGTCGTAGGCTGCACAGGACTTGGAAGGAACAGGAGGTGCACCTGCGGATCCGGCTCGAAGAACAATGTTGGCGTGGGGCGTTGGGGGTGAAAGTCCAAGGGAAGGGAAAATGCAAGGGAAGTAAAATGGCGTCTGCTTTCCTTTTCACTGTGACGTGACTCGCACGTATATATATTCTCTTCACTTGTATGACAAATTTGAAACTAAACTTAACCTAATTGCAGTGGCGCTTAGCTGCCCATATGAAAGAGGGAGAGGCCGCCGACGCTAGCAGCGCTCTGCCAGCAGAAGTTGCTGGCAAGCGTTGAAATGTCAACACTGGCAGAGTGCTGCCACATCAACAGTAAGTTTCTATTCTATATTTTTAAAGCCCTGTCTAAGGCCCTGATAGATCAAGTTTGTTCATTTCTTCTTTTGCACCCCAACTATCCGCTTTTTTCCACATTCTTTACAGTCGAGCAACCTCGATATTACAAAAAAAGGAAATTAAAAACAAGATAGAACGCTACAGTCGAGCAAGCCCGACAATGTAATACCCTGTACCCAGGTAAACTTCCGTCGCTGAGTTATATGCGCCCATAGCAGCAGCAAAAAGAGGAAGAAGAAGGGCGAACTTGTTGCTGCAGTTTGGGGAGGTTGTACTGGCTAGAATTTGTTTTGCTAATAACTTTTGCTAATAGAATTGACCGAATTGAATAAAATTTCGAACAATAGTAGACAATTACATATATATATAAATTATAAATTAAATAAATTATAAATTATGTGTGCAAAGTTTGGTTTAGGTAGCATTTGAAATGTGGACGCTATTGACGAAATTCTGTAGCGTGGGAAGGGGGGGAAAATTAAAAAAAAATAAAAAAAAACTGGTCCTTACTCGGACCTAGGAGAATCTGGATGCTAACTTTGGTTATTCTAGCTTTTATAGTATCTGAGATCCTCGCGTTCATCCAGACGGACGGACAGGCGGACGGACATGTCTAGATCGATTTCTCTCGTCATGCTGATTCAGAATATATATACTTTATGGGGTCGGAGATGCTTCCTTCTGCATGTTACATACTTTGCACAAACCTAATATACCCTTTTTACCCTACGGGTACAGGGTATAAAAACAAGATAGAACGCTACAGTCGAGCAAGCCCGACAGTAAAATAGCCTGTACTCTCCACAAAAAGGAAAAATTAAAAAAAAAATTTAAAAAAAATTAAATTATTAGAAAAAATGAATGAATTAATTAATTAAAATAATTAATTAAATTAAATTAGAATACATGTTTATGTTCAGTTTAAACAGCATACATTTACATCACGTACCTATGCGTGTTTATATGCGTGTATGTATGCAGCACAAAGTTAAACCAAAGCAGCAACAACAACAACACCTGCGGGTAGCGCTGCCGACAGAGCTGCAGGCAGCGCATGAGCAGCGATTTTACTTATGGCTATAACTTTCTTCAGAATTTACCTATCATGATGAAATTTGGCACACGGACACATTAGTACTAACTGGATGTACCTACCGAAATTGATTTCAAAATTCCGAGAATTACGGAAGTTATAAGAAAAAACACGAATTGCGGGGGAGTGGGGGGTGCATCGAAAAAAACTCAAACTCGTACTTTCTCGGTCTTAGGAGAATATGCAAACCAAGTTTGGTTATTCTAGCTCTTATACTTTCTGAGATCCTTGCGTTCCTACGGACAGACGGACAGACAGACGGACAGATGGACGGACGGACAAGGCTATATCCACTCGGCTTCTCATCCTGATCAAGAATATATATACTTTGTGGGGTCTGCCACGCCTCCATCTGTGTGTTACATACATGCGCACAAAACTAGTATAGCCTTTCACCCTTTAGTAACGGGTTATAAAAATATGCATTTTACAAAAGCAGGCAGAACAAACAATACAAAATATCAAACAGTTGGGGACAACTAAGTATACATACACACACATGCAAACAGCTGTTCGTGTGGTTGCGTGCAAACGATTGAAATAGCCAAAGCAAAATGTGAGACACTAATGTGTGAATGTCCATAGATACATATGTATGTGCACATCTATGTATGTACATATGTATCTACATATGTATGTATGTACATTCGTCTTGCACTGACAGAGCAAGCAATGTTAATTAATTGAAAATTATATAATATAACATTTTTAAAAGTAATTTTTTCTTTGTTTAGTGCATTTGGCATTAGGGTTTTCATTAATAGCTTTATGCAGCAACAACAAATATCAAATAGTTGGGGACATCACATACATAGACTCACACGCACAACAAGCAATAGTTCGTGTCTATGTGTGCGGTTCTCTACGTGCGGCTGAAAAAGTAAAAAGAAACATATGTACATACATATGTATGTATGCCTGTGTATGAATATAGCATGTATGTACATTCGTATTAATGTATACTGAAAAATCGCTAGCTTTTTAGCGAAACGATAACAAGATTTAACTATTTATTAAATGAGACGCGGTGTTCTTTGATTATTAAAATGGCTTTTAATGGCTTGGTAATTGTGCAATAACGATGTTGAGCGTGCGAGAAGTATTTAACAAGTGATTTGCCTGCTGCCGCTACAAGTCAGCGGGCCGGCATAAGAAAAGTAATGCACAAAGAGAGCGCAGTAAAGGGCGCGATAGAGAGCGCAAAGAAAAGGCTTAGAAGCTGAGTAGGGTGCTCCAACATTCCGGCCCCTTTGAAGGACTCCCGGTCTTTCAAATCTACACGGAGCACCGCCAACATCGTGGACTGGTCGCCTAGCAGCACCGCTGCCTCCAACAATCCTCCTATGTGGAAGAATGAACCACCAATCGATTCGTCGCTCTGCCGCATAGTCCGTCAGGGCGTCCTTTCTCCGCTCGAAAGCCGACGGCATGTCCCTCAGCAAGCCGCTTGTTCCCGCGAAGTTCGTCACGTTGTCGCTGAAGACCATTTCCGGCAGGCCGCGCTTCCCGATGAACCTTGTAAAGACGTTAAGGACAGTATCAGTGGATAAATTAGCTACCAGTTCGAGGTGAACGGCCTTCGAGGCAAAACAAACGAATACCGCTACGTAATTTGTAACGGGCGGTCTTCCGCGTATGCGATAGCTACCATGGAATGGGCCGCAAAGTTCGAGTCCACAAACCCTGAAAGGTCGACCTTCTCGAAGGCGATCACCTGGCGAATTTCTCATTATTTGCTCAACTTACTTGGGCTTGCATCGAAGGCAGTTATGTAAAACTGCTGAGCAAACCCTACGAGTATTTATCACCCAAATCTGTTGCTTTAGCAGCCCAACTAACATCTTAAATCGCCACAGCTCTTGCCACAGAGTTTTGGCCGCTATGACGATGGGGCACAAAGGTCCAAGTTGCTCAGACAAACGAGATAATATATCCCGCTTTGTCGGCTTCAACGAAGTAAAGCTATCCTCATGCAGATGATAACGAAATACATCATTATGAGGAGCCAGCATGTCGTCAACATAAAAACAATTTTTAATGACATTTAACGCGACATGGTGACATCGAGCATAAATATTTGCCAATTCAAACAACAAGCGCACAGCAAAAAATGGCGCTGATGCAGTCCCGTATGTTACAGTGTTCAACTTAAAGGACTGCAGCTCACGAGAGGCGCTTTCTCGCCAGAGAATGAGCTGGTACTTTTTGTCTTTTTCAGACACGTTTATTTGCCTGTACATCTTGGAGATGTCGGCAGTAATTGCGTATTTATTCAACCGAAAATTTACAAATGTTGAATAAAGCTCCCACTGAATAGTCGGCCCAACCATTAAAGTGTCATTTAATGATAGGGCCGTTGACGTTTTACTAGAAGCGTCAAACACCACACGCAATTTGGTTGTGGTGCTTTCAGGTCTCAGGACACACTGATGAGGAATGTAGTAGTGCTGTCCTGGAGGAGGAGATTCAAGAGCAGACATATGCCCAAGATCACGATACTCTCTCATGAAGTCATGGTACATGTCATGGAGAGTTTTGTCTCTTGCGAGTTTCCGCTCAAGTTGCAGAAATCGTCTTTCAGCAGTTTGAAAGGAAAGCCCTAGTACAGTGGGATCGGATTTGAACGGAAGTTCGACTTGAAAACGTCCTGTAGACAGGCGCTGTACTGATTTGGTGAAGTGAGCTTCACAGGCCTTTTGTTCAGCTGTCTGGCGAACAGCCTTCGACTCATTTGGGCTCCGATCGAGTTCCCAAAAGCGTTGAACTAAGGTGTCGAGAGAACAATCATTAACTTGAGCGACAACGTTAACGCTGAATTGTTGAGGAGGTATTTGCCCTGTATATCTTCCAGCAACAACCCATCCCAGCAATGTCTTCTGCAACAATGGAAGACAGGAATTGAGCTCGATTTGCCCAACGCATAATAACTTGTAAAAAAGTTCAGCGCCTAGGAGAATATCAACTTTGGCTGGCTTATAGAATTCTGGGTCAGCCAACTCAAGGTTTGCGGGTATTTTCCAATTCGATGTGGGTACAAAGTTACCAGGCTGACAAGTAGATATGGATTTAAGAACCCAAAAATCAGTGCCAAAGCTGTGAGAATTCAAACGAGATTGAATATCAGCGCACACCTTGTGCCTACTACCAGTAGTGGTTCCACCTGCCATTACAATACTCACAGCTGTGTCTTTACGCTTTAATCGAAGGCGCTGCGCAAGGCCAAGCCGCCATCAAGTAACACACGAGCAGGATGGTAATGGCCGAATCTATCTTTAATTTTTACGACTGCTGTGGCAAGAATTACTTAATCGGCACTTAAAACGTGACCTAAGTACGCTTCTGGAGGTGCGACTGTGTGTGGAGCGGGTGAATTTGGCACAGCTACAGAGTATCTGTGCAACAATGAATGGTGTGGTTTTGAACACACCCGACACTTGGAAGCCTTGCAACTGGAAACTACATGACCCACATTCAAGCAATTGAGGCACATTTTTTGAGTCTTAGCAAACTCAAATCGCTGCATAACAGATATAGAACCGAAGGAAGGGCAAGAATAAATATTGTGTTCCGCAGAACCACAGTATGTGCACTTCGAGATCGGTTTTGAAGGCTTTAAAGGACCCTTTGTGCAAGAAAACG